AAAGTCACCCAGCTGGCTTTCATGCCTAAGGTGGGACTAGAACTCACTGTCTCCTGGTGTTTGGTTCAAAGTCACCCAGCTGTCATTCACATCAAAAGTGGGACTAGAACTCACCATCTCCTGGTTTCTAGGCTGGTGCCTTAACCAAACAGTTTCTCTTTATTATTAAATTTATATGCCACCCATCTCATTGTGTCAAGTTACTCTGAGAAGCTTATGGTTCTATCAAAACATAAATATAAGGGTATTAAAAGCATTAAAATTAAAACGAACAACAATTGATGAAAGAAATTCCATCTGCCAAGCAATATTTTGTCTGTGTGGACTTTTCACAACTATCCTGATATTGTCAATACAGATTGGGATGTTCTGAATATTTGAATATCAGTTCAGTCCCGTTGGTTAATGAGCTCAATAAAGAAAATGACATTCCTAATAAATTATGATTATCACCCTGGAGACATCATCATAAATTGTGCCAAATTAGCATCAATTGTAACAGATTGTGATGATCGCCCAGGATAAATGATCATAAATTGTAATAAATTATGATTCTTATCCTGGATAAAATGATCATAAATTCAACCTCCCCACCCCACTTCCCAAAAGAGGATCAGATTAAAATATTTTACCAGTTTGCGTTTTTCTGAAGTATAAAACCTCTAGTTTCAGAGATTCTGGCTTGGTCCAGACCGTGAATTCAAACTCTTCTCTTATTTGGATTATTCTTAAATGAACTTGTTGACATAAAGAGTTCAAATAAATGCCTAGAAGGTCCTAAAGAACCATAGAGTATTTCCAGCATGGTCCCAAATTCCACCATCGTTCTATTACAGATCTGGCCATTTTATGACCTCTGGGCCACATATTTGAATGTTCCTTTCTGGCCCACATTTGATGGCTTTTTATTTTTAATGCAGCTGTTATTTTTCCTCTAATGTACGTAGGTGTGTGAATGCCTGCACATCTTCACAGCCCTATTGGTTCAGTCCTCCACAACTCTTCAGAATTCTCCTGTGGCTCCTTGGAAAAACTAATTGCCCATTCCTGCTCTTATCTGCCTTCTTTCCCTACCAAGATCTTGTGACATGTTAATACCACTTCATAATGCCTTGGTTAAGACCACACTTGGACTACTGCATCCAATTTTGGTCGCCATATATAAATTTTGAGACTCTAGAAAGAGTGCAGAGAAGAACAGCAAAGACAATTAAGGGCCTGGAGGCTAAAAGATATGAAGAACAGTTGCAGGAACTGGGTATGTCTAGTTTAATGAAAAGAAGGACTTAGAGGTGACATGATAGCAGTCTTCCAATATCTGAGGGGCTGCCCCAAAGAAGCGGGAGCCAAGCTATTCTCCAAAGCACCAGAAGGCAGGACAAGAAGCAACGGATGGAAACTAATTAAAGGAGAGAAGCAACCTGGAATTAAGGAGAAACTTCCGAGCAGTCAGAGCAATTAATCAGTGCAATGGGTTGCCTTCAGAAGTTGTGGTCCATCTTCTGGAAGGCTATTAATTAATGGAATGGCTTGTCACCAGAAGTTGTGGGTGCTCCATAACTGGAAGTTTTCAAGAAGAGACTGGACAAGCCATTTGTCTGGAATGGTATTGGGTTTTCTTGAGTGAGGGGTCGGACTAGAAGACCTCCAAAGTTCCCTTCCACCTCCAAGATGACCTGTAAGGTCCCTTCCAACTCTGATTATCAGTTATCGGTTATAGATCGTGACAGAAACAAGATACATTGACTTGACTTCTTATTCTGTTATTCCGTTCTCTTCTAGGTCGACGGCATCCTGAAAACAGTGCTGCGGGATGAAACCATCGCTTGGCACAAGAAGACCCAAGAGGACACATCGTCTCCGCTCTCAGCAGCCGGGCAGCCAGAGAACATGGACAGCCAACAGCTGGTGTCGCTGGTTCAGAAAGCTGTGACGGCCATCATGACCAGGCTCCATAACTTGGCCCAGTTCGAAGGCGGAGAGAGCAAAGTCAACACCTTAGTTGCAGCCGCGAACAGCTTGGACAACCTGTGCCGCATGGACCCAGCCTGGCATCCGTGGCTGTAGACATCTCCTGAAGACTTGGATGATCGCAAAACCCGCTGAGATACAACAAGGACTTTGAGATCCATCATGGATGGTTCTTCACCCATCGCGGCACTTGATGTGTTTCCGGCAGGATCGTGTTTCCAGGAGCTGTTGTGTTTTTAGAGTTTCATCTCAAAGTTAAGATCCCATCCTCATCATGCTGGCATCTCTCCACTCCGAGGAAATCTTCAAAAGGACGAGATTTGAACTTTTGCACACCAGGCCATCCTGTTTTATGCAGCGAGCAAGAAGAGCGAAGACACCGGCGAGAGTTGAGACTTGCCTTAGGAGTCCTCGCCAATTTGGTTTTTTTTAAAAAAAAGAATTATCCCCTCCTTGAGGATACTGATGTGTGAAGTTGTTGGTTTTTTTTTAAACTGTTTACTTTCTTGGTGATTACAAAGACACCTGAAAGACCATTTTAATCCAGCCAAAAACGTAGGCGTGTTAGGGGGCATTGTACAGAGATTTTTATAAGAAAAATGTACAGGTAAAAAAAAAAAAAACACTTGTTTTTATTGGTGTTGTTAATTGTTTTCAGTTGCTAGTTGGTAAAAAAAAACACCAGGAAATGATCAAATTGTGCTGCTTCTACGAACTTTCTACAGTGAAAGTGGACTCACTTCTGGGTTGGTGAATCCCTTAGGCCTAAGAGGAATTTCCTAAACCTGAAATTCGTCCGTTAAGTATTTGGAAGTAACCCATTCGCTCAAATCACCCAAAAAACTTTTGAAAACTCTGAAAACCTTTATTTTTTTGTTTTTGTTATTTGTTTTTCAGCTCTGACACATTTAAATGTATATCCTTAAAGTAACTTCCGGTGGAGCTGTTTCATTTTTTTTCATTTTTGTAGTTTTAGCTGTGTAATTTAAAAGAAAGAAGACATTGTTTTTATTGCATCCATCTTAGCCATTTTTATATATAAAACCATATTGCAATATTGAGAATGTTCCCATTCGAATTTGTAAGGAGTGAACTTTTATTCAGAATAAATATTTTCTAAAACGTCAGGAATGGGCCTTTATTTAGCTCATGGTGGTGTTTTAAATGGCCATAGGAAACATGGATGAGAGATAACCACCACCCTTGGGGTGGAAAAAAAGAGTAGAGTGTGCCAAAATGGGGAATTGTTTACCCCTTGGAATTTAGGTTGCACTAAATCCCTTAATTGCTTTGCTTTTAAAGAACAGGTGCAAAATTGCTTTGATATTCAAACATTCTAAGAACCTGGTTCTCCCTCTCTCCATATTACCCCGTTTCCCCCAAAAATATGACCTACCCTGAAAGTAAGTCCTAGCTTGATTTTTACACGTGCGACCAATATAAGCCCTACCCCCCAAAATAGGCCCTAATTAAGATCCCGCCCACTCCAGAGTAGACGGGTAAAAATTAAGCAAGGATGTGGATGGGGAGTGGTGGAGCTGCCCTACTACTTACCTTTGGACAGTTGTAGCCAGGCCTCGCACACCTCGACACCTGCCTTGCCGGCCCATTTCTTCTGCATCCAGTAAGGCTGGCAAGGCTTTCCTGAAGGCCTCTGGAGCTGAGAACAAAGCTCTGGATCGATCCAGAGCTTCTCTTATCGGCTGCAGAGGCCTTCAGAAAAGCCTTGCCGGCTGCAGAAGAAGAAGTTCTTGAAGGCCTCTGACAGCGAAAAGGAGGTCGGGGGCGATGCGCACAAGTGAGGTTAGTCAGTGGAGGACATCCCCCGAAAATAAGACCTGGTGCCTTTTTTTTGGTGGGAAAAATATATATAAGACAGGGTCTTATTTTCAGGGAAACACGGTAGTTACTTTTTCCTCAGAAAGCATTTCTCAAATGACTTCAATTCCCATGTTCCTTGGAATTCCGAAAGAAAAATGATAGCTGGTGGGATCTTCTGAAGATAAGAGTCCACCCGACAGGATCCTAAAACCTTGAAAATTTAGGAATCTTGCCAAACTCAAGCAAACTTCAAGTAGACCTTGATTTTTGACTGTAATGGAGCCTGTCCACAATAGCTTAATTCATATTTTGCTAACTGCCGCATTCCTTCACCAGGGTCATTTCTGTGCTTCTCTATAGCAAGATCTTGGAAGGAGAAAGAGATTTGAAGGACAGCCAGAAAACAGCCTTGCCAGCTGGCCTTCTAAGATACGGGTATTTTGAATCGCCCACATCTGCCTTTGGATCCAAGGTTGATTGTAGAATACAAGAAGAAGTTGTCCATCTAAGGACCCAAAGGAAGGACAGGTGCTCCCTTAAGGCAACGATCTGCAAGGAGACACTCATACACTTTGAGTGTGTGATTGCAGACACAAGATACACTATAGCGGTTGTGCTTGTCATGGAGGAGGGAAGCAGAAGAAAACAAACAACACAGGACATCCTGAATATGGCTACCGGCCTCAAAGGTGAATGTTTACTATGCTAGAAGTGGGAACAATTACTAAGTCTGATCCCTGATGATTCTTGACTCTTGATGAATGTATCTTTTCTTTTATGTACACTGAGAGCATTTGCACCAAGACAAATTCCTTGGGTGTCCAATCCCACTTGGCCAATAAAGAATTCTATTCTATTCTATTCTATTCTATTCTATTCTATTCTATTCTAT